GTTCTTCATTGTTGTTGCTAGTTGTTTGAATTGAAGAAGAAGAAAAGGAATGAATGTTTATGTTTTTGTGCTAGTTGTTTGAAAATGAGTGCATGTTTGTATGGATATATATAGAGAGAGTCGTATTAGATATTGCAACTTGGATTTATATGTCGTTTTCTTGTATATACAAATAGAGATTATATATATATATGCTAAATGTATTAGTATTACTGCTTTTTTGAAATGCATAGTTTACAAGTTTGAAGAAATCTAGTCAAAGATGAACAAAATAAATAAAAAATATTCAGTAATTTCGACATCAAGCATCATCCAACGGATCCAAAGGGGAATAAATTAAAATACTAATGGAGTCTAAAAAACCTTAATGTGGGCCACCATGAAACACTTTATTGAAATTATTTAGTTAATAACATATTCTATTACTTATTCCCTTACTATTAGTTGTAATCTTAAGGTATTAATTGTGAGATGTAATAAGAAATTTCAAAAGTTACAACTAATATGTAACAGAGAAAGTATGATATCTTCTTATATTTCTTGGTATTTAGGGTGGGTTTACATTTACATAATTTCAGTTCACTTCAGCTTTTATCAGTTCAGTTCAGCTCCAATCAATTCAATTCAGTTCAGCTCCTAATTTTCCTCTCTCATAAAATATTCATTTCAACTCAATTCAGTTCAGCTCCAATCAGTTCAGTTCAATTCAGTTCAGCTCAGTTCAGTAAATGTGAACAGACCCTTAATACTTCTTATATTTCTTGGTACTTAAAATTAGAAATTGTCTAAAATATGAAACAGAAACAACAAAATAAACAATTGAAATATTATTTTTCATACTTACTCTACGCATTCTAAATCCTAATGCACAATTTCAATCCCAAATATTTTTAACTAGATGAAGCCCGTGCGATGCACGGTTTGTTTGAATTTTTTAAAATAATATTTTTACACATATATATTTATGTGCTAAAAATTGTTAAATATTTAGATAAAATTCCTGATATTAAAAGATAATATTTTATATTTAATTAGTTTAAACTGGATAATCTCATTCGCAAATTTTGCTTATGTGTCAGTTAAATTATTTAATTCTAAAAGATTTTAATAATCTCGTATTTAATTGACTACCACTAAAATTTATTATCCTACGTGGCGCGCTGAAAAAATTAAATCTTTCGTGGCTTTCTAAAAACTCGGGGAAAAAGCTCCCCTTTATATATATATATATATATATATATATATATATATATTAGATTGTATGTGAAATTCAAATTATACTTGCCTTTTTTTTTATATTTTTTTTATGTCACAAAAATATAGACATAGAGAAATCTAACAAGGACGACCTACATATATATTTTTCCTTATGTATAAATCACAATATATATATATATATATATATATAATTATAAACGAGTGTGTGAATTGAATAATAATGTGAACAATTCAAATGGTGCATTATTTAGAAAACAAAGAAAGTATATACGTTGAACCAATTATCCTATAAACTACGAGAACTTTGCAATTTTGTATTTCGTATATCAATATCGACATAACACCAAATAACAACCTAGCTTTCATCCTTATTTAAGTCTTGTTTATACATACCTAGATAGCGAGAATATTGAAATTCTTGCCACTTATTTGGAAAAATAGTTAGCCAATTGTATTTTATTTATTAAATAAATACTCAAATGTAAATTTCTTAGTGAGATTATTGGTCTAACGACTTTTTACAAGTCTTTATATTTATAGAAAGTAACTCTTAGTCTCTTACATAGTTCAAGAGTCAAATATAACAGGCTTCTAGTCTTCGACTGCTCTAATCATCCCTATCAATATCGACTTGTGCACTTTTTTACTTTTCTAAACATTAAGTTATCATGTTCTAATGATGATTAACTCCTTCTAACACGTGCTAATTTAATTGAATCTTAAAATGAAAAAGTGATTAAGGAGGTGAGATTATTACTTGCTATCCACTGGCGCTAGTGGATTAAGTACTCGATTGTTAGTGGACGTATCACACTTTACTTGCTGATGTTAATTCTCTAACAGTTAGCCAACTTTTAAACAAGTAAAAAGTTATACACTTATATTATGAGTTAGTCGTTAAAGATGTTATAATTGTTATACTCCGTATGTGATGCTTGATCTACCTTTTACATGAACTTTAACGACTTCATTCAAAAAAAAAAAAATTAATCACTTTTTTGCGTAATTATTGAACTTTGACTAATGGTCTTATTTCATACACAATCATTTTTGGTGTAAACGTAATCTAGCTACTTCGGCCTCATGTATCTTTTCATTTATATTTTTATATGATTTTGAGTGCAAAATTTTTACATTTATTCTTTTTTTTTTTAGGAAATTAATTGTAAAATTTTGTATTGGCCCTAAAATAAGTGGAAATAAGATGAACATAACATGACCTAAATAAAATTCACTGGTTGAAACTTGAAAGTTCAACATTTTTACGAACAAAGGGGAAAAAATATAAAAATGATTATTTTTTTTAATTGTAAAAGTGCATCAAGGTTATGTACGTATGTCGGTATGTGTCGATGTCTCCATTTTGCATTTGAGTCTCCTGGCATTGGGCCATGGTGTTAGCCTAAGTAGCGGGTATGGCCCAAAACAATTTGCAATCTTGGGCCATGCAGAAATCAACCAAGCAGCTGCACGTGACATGTTTCAGGAACACGTGGGATAATACATCTTCTTTGAGTTAAATTAATCTAACTTAAGAACGTAAGAAAGGGAGTTCGACCACATACAAGTTAAATCGACAATGAATTAGTTTTTCAAGATAAAGACGATGAATTAAGCTAGCTAGTGATACAACTTGAAACAAAAACCGAAAAATAATAATAATAAAAAAGCCATGTGGCGAAGTGGTGAACGGTAAGGACGTGGCATGTGGTAGTCCTTTTGAAAGTTTCAGTATATTTTGACATGTAACTAGTGGGTTTGGTCGTAGGTATAGCTTAGCTATTTCCAAGGCACACAAGCTCGACATAGTCCATATCCATTCTTCACCAAGCTTAGCAAAATTACATCATAAATTCAATTGGTAATTAGCAATTCATCAAAACTTTTTTTTTTTTTTTTGAAAAAAGCAATTCATCAAAACTTAGCTTATACATTGTGTATTCTTTTTTATTTTTTCTTTTTTATTGTGGGATAAATAATTCCGACTCACATGTGAATTTTCCTTAACATACTCTAACCAAGTGCATGTCTCATCTCTTATTGCAAATTTGCAAGCACAAAGCAAATAAAAAATGTGGGTTTTTTTTTTTTTTTTTTTTTTTTTTTTTTTTTTTTTTTTTTAAGGATATGATTATAAGATTCAATTCTTAACACAAGTATTACCTGGACAACACGTAGTATTGTGGTAGTACGGGCTAATTAACTACTCCCAAACAACTATGGTATTATCTACGAGCTTAATCTAAGTGAACGAGGAACTTATTAACACTTCATCTTTCTTGTGATATAGATGTGGCTCTTCATGCATCTTGATTGATCAATCGTCTATTGATCACCATTTTTACATCAATGATTATCTATAAACTGAATGGTTTTACGGGATTAAAAAAAGAAGATAAATGATAATTAATGACGAAGAAACAACTAACACTAGAAGCATCATTTCTATACGTTATAATTCACAAAAACCATACAACCATTCAAACTAGTCAATTAGTAAAAGGCGTACGTCTAGCTAATCCCCTTTATAGATCGACCCTAGCTAATTAATTTTATGTCTAATAAATTTTACACGAATTAAACTACCTAACTCATACTGCGATCCGTTATAAGTTAATTAAGGTCACTTCTTCTATTTCGAAGATGATATATTCTCCATAATAACTCTAAAATGACTTGGTTCACAAGGTATATGAATAACACCTTGTTGTTGATACCCAAACTCATTAGCAGATAATTGAAGCAACTCTACAATACAAGGATGGTTCATCCACCCACAAGGCACCATAAACCTTTCTTGTTGCTCCTCACTAAAGCCTACCATAACCGGCACATACCCTCTTCTAACTTCATGTCTAGCATCACCTCGAAAACCGAGACAACGATCTCGACGAGTTTTCTCTCTTCTTCCTAGCTATCTTTTCTATAAAATCCTTCATTGTTGTAAGACAATTACATACTAAAGGGGAAAAATCACAACTTTTAAGAGTTTTGTGATTCTAGCAAAATTATAATGTACATAATTGAATTGCATGTGTTTATATAGTAGTCCGACTTGTCAAGCTAGTAGCTAGGTCTTTGACTATTGTTTTGGGATGTTTACAAAATTTACTGTAAATTCAGTGGACATGAATATTATTACAAGAAATTGAAGTCAAAAGTCTAAAGTAAACGATGAAACATTCCCTCAATCTAAGTCAACGTAATGATATATTTAGCCTTAAATGTTGACTTTTTTGTCTCTTTCGTACTTATACTACAATAATTCAATTACTATAACAGTTGAAGAATTGAAGGAATGATTGAGTTTCTCTTACCTACAAATGATTTGTGTATGCATGAGAAGATTGAATGTTTGGACTTTGGAGTTGTAAGGTAATGTAATGCACTAATGCCCTAGTATAAAACGGAAATGGTGAAATATAGACACGATAGAATATGTTATGCATTACTCGGAAGTAATTTTTATTTCATGCAAATGAGCCAGAAAGACAATACAAATTACATATAAAAGAATGGAAGTGGACTCAAACTTGTAATCTATCATATCGTATACAAGCTCTCAATCTTTGTCACTAGGCCAAGACCTCATTAATTGAAGTATTAGTATTTTATGATATACTTTCGAGTAGTGAAATATGATTGAATATAATAAAATGATCTCTTCTTTTTTTATTTTTTGAACAAACAATTTCAGAAGTATCAACTCATACACAAAGTTTCAAAACTTTCCCGCTAAAAGCAGTTAAAGAGAGTGATGAACTCAATTTCTGGGTTATGGAGTCCCAACGAAAGAAAGTGTTTCTCTCTCCTCCAACAATGGCAGAATTCTCGATCACTCCTTCAAATACATGCTTTCATTCTACGCAATACCTTGATTCTAATCTAAATATACTCACCAAATTCATAGCTGCCTGTTCTTCACCTTCATCGGCAAGTCTTGGCATTCGACATGCACGCCAAGTGTTCGATCAAATTCCTCAAAGAAATGATTCTTTTCTTTGTAATGTCACGATTAAATCCCATATTGATAATCATCAATTTACTGATGCTTTGATTCTTTTTAGAGATTTGAGGAGAATGACGCAATTTGTTCCTGATAATTATACATATTTGTTTATGACGAAATCTTGTGGGTCGGATTTGTACAATTGGGAAGGTCGACAGCTTCATAGTCATGTAATTAGAACTGGGTTTGGATTGGATTTGTTTGTTTCGACGTCTATAGTTGATATGTATGGGAAAATGTGTGATATGGTTTCTGCAAGGAAGGTGTTTGATGAAATGTCTGTTAGAAATGCTGTGTCTTGGACTGCTATGGTATGTGGGTTTGCAAGGGTAGAGGATATTGACAATGCTTGGAAATATTTTGATGAGATGCCTGGGAAGGATGTATCGGCTTATAACGCGATAATTGGTGCATTTGTTAAGGTGGGTGACATGAATTCTGCTCGGAGTTTGTTTAATGCAATGCCGGAAAGGAATGTGATCTCGTGGACGAGTATGATTTCTGGGTTTTGTGAAAATGATGACATCGAGTCGGCTAGGTTGTTCTTTGATTCTATGCCTAGGAAGAGTCTTGTTTCTTGGAATGCGATGATTAGTGGTTATTGCCAGAACAAACAACCACGCGAAGCTGTGAAGTTGTTCCGTGAATTGCAGTTGAATGCAGTGCTTGAAGCTGATGAAGTTACCATCATCAGCATTCTTCCGGCAGTAGCTGAATTGGGGGCATTAGATTTCGGATGCTGGGTTCATCAATATGTGAAAAGGAAAAGGCTTGACAAATCTATCAAGATATGCACTTCACTGATAGATATGTATGCAAAATGTGGAGATATAGACAAAGCCAGACGTGTTTTTGAAGAGATTCCTGAGAAGGCGACTTCTTGTTGGAATGCTATCATAAATGGGCTTGCAGTCAATGGCAAGGGAAGGGAAGCAGTAGATGAGTTTGAGAACATGATATATAGAGGATACACACCAAATGCAATAACAATGATTGGTGTTTTGTCTGCTTGCAGCCATAGTGGTTTGGTTGAGGAGGGAAAGAAGTGGCTCAATGCAATGGAGAGTTTCGGACTAGCCCCTACAATAGAGCACTATGGCTGTGTGATAGATCTTTTGTGTAGGATAGGCAGTTTGGAGGAAGCTGAGAAACTGTTAGAATCCATGCCATATGAGGCTAATGAGGTAGTTATTAGTTCCTTCCTTTCAGGTTGTGTGAACCGGAAAGATTTGCCTAAGGCAGTAAGAATTTTGAAACGAGCAGTTAAAAAGAATTTATTAAATGCTGGGAACTATATTCTATTAAGGAACTTGTATGCCATGGAAAGAAAATGGATAGATATGAGGGAATTAAAAGGGTATATGAGAACAATTGGTGTAAAAAAGGAAGCTGGTTGCAGTGCTATTGAAGCTGATGGCATGGTTTGTGAGTTTATGTCAGGGAGCATAATGCACCCTCATCAGGAGAATATACTTCCGGTATTAAAGCAGCTTCAGATGCACATGAAGAAGATAAATGACGAGAACATGTTGGAATCGTGTATTGCTGAAGTATCGTTGCAAACTTGATAATGTTTGGGCAGTAAAATTGTTCTGATTAGTTCTTCACACGCTTGATTTCTGGTGATGTCCTATCTATGATCTAAGATTTTTAAAGAACAGATGTAGTTAGAAGGCTAGACCAATTATAGTGGAGAATGAAGGTGGAGAAGTGGAGCTGATCTTCGCTTTTACATCCAATAACTATTGCACTATTAACAGGAAGCAGCTAAGCTTGCTGAAGTGAGTTTCTCTAATGAGTTTGTCTAATTTTGATTATGCATACATGCTTGCTTATAATTTGCATACCCATACGCGGGATACCATCTTTTGAAGTTAATATTATGATTTTTGCTTAACTTTGCTAGAAAGTTGCAGTGTGGAATGGAGGAAAACTGGACATCACAACTTTAGCTGGTATGTTATGCGTTCTGAAGTTCTGCATATGCATTCAGATCTTACTGATAACTGGCATTACTATCTTCTTTTCTCTTGATGTTGTAATATAAGTGTTCTGTCTCTTTTTTTGTGATATTGGAACAATAGTTTGCTTTGGTTTCACTTTCTGTAAAAATTATTTCCTTGATCCTGCCTTCAAGCCAAAGGTCAGGAATCAGATAACTAGAACTAAAAGATAGGAATGGGATTCCTTGCTTAAACTAAACCCATAAGTGTAAGTGTGTAACATACCATTTTTTCTGTAAAAGTTTCCCTTTTATAGTAATCTATCCCTCCCATGTCTTCTTTATCTTTGTTTAGGGATTTCATTATCATCATCTCCTCAAGTTTGTACAAAAATTTAACCCAAAAATGGGTCTTGCTACTAGTAGCTTCTTATTAGGAAAAGGTCTGCTCCTTCCCGTGCTACCCTGATTTTCATCGAAATGCTCATTCAATCATTTTTTTTTTTCCTCGGTAAAGCATATCAATTCTATTTTGTGGTTTAATCTCTCTCCTATTCTGATTTTGTACTTGCTTTGAATCTATGATGAATGTTAGGGTCACCAACAACACAGATGGTGAACTTGATTACGGGATCACTCTACAACAGTTTTATTAAGGAAACCAGTGAATTTTCACAGTTTGACACAGCATTTCTTGATATATACAAGTACGTACCAAAGCCTACCTTTTATATCAAACAAGCTTTTGAAATGTGAATTTTAAAACAGAGGAATAAATTAAATTGTTCGTTACTACTGATTAACCTGTCCCTTAATGATCTCAAACAGCACTTTCAACTCGGCGTTGCCTGGTAAACATTATGATGTACCCTCTAACCAGGAGATAAAGGTAAATGAACGCTATTCTCATGATTCTCATCTCCTATTGTTACACCGTAGATAGTATATACCACATCATCCACGACATTTACAAAAACTTTAAAAGCAGAAATGCTACGAGGAATGGACTGCTGCTGGTGATAATGCAGAAAAGAAGAAGCAAATCTTTGTAGACTTTATAAGAAGAACGGTAAGCCTCAACAAGCCACAAAAAATGACACTAATAACAGGTTTGGTGACGCCACCAGCTGCCATGGTAGCAAAGAAAGCTGGAGAGAGAGTCCCTGCACTTAAGATCATCAAAGTAGTACCTGATGTCCTCTTTGTTCCAACTGTTACATTTTTGGCTATCATCTCAGCCCAGGTATCAAGAAATGTGTTGCACAGGAGAATGATTCGCCGAAATGAACAAAGAGGGGAACAAAACATCTAGATTGATTGCTTTTCTTGTCTACTTGTGAACTGAGCAGTAGTTCATGTATATATCTACTTTTCTAGCATTAATAAAAACATCTGTTTGTACATTTATGCATTTGGGAAATTTGATTAAAATTTGCCTTCATATTACTTTATTCAACCAACAACTTTATAACAATAGATGTTTTAGTTAACACTTAACAAATTCTATGAATATGCACGGCACAATGCACATACTTTACTTTGACTAGTTTTGATGATTTTACAATTAAGGAAGAATATGGTTATGTAGGATATTGCTAGATTCGTCTCAATTTATAAAAACAAATTTTTATAGTTTTTACTTTAAAATATTAGTTATTAAAATAATCCACTAGCATGTGTAAAATGAGAAGCGTTGCAAGTAAAAAGGGGTATAGGTCAAATACCCAAATGTAAGGATCTATTCTCTTACGTTGAAATTCAGTTCAGTTCAGTTTAACTCAGTTCAGTTCCGCTCCTAATTTCCTTCTCTTATAAAATATTCATTTCATTTCAATTCAGCTCAGTCAATGAGAACATGCCCTTAATTTTTACAACTATGTTAGAGCACTTGAGTAATACGAAGTACAACTTTAAGCTTCTATATTTATAAGATAATTACATCAAAATTTTCGGTATAATATTACCCTGTATTCGTCAATACGAGAGAGAGAGAGACAGAGAAAGAGAGGGGGGGGGGGGGTTACAATATACAAAGTACACATCATGGTAAAAAAAGAATTTACTTAATTTAACAGGAAGGAGGTATTTGGTATTTGAAGAGATTCAAAAAGCATGTACATTTGCCTGGATCAAGGAAACCCGATATACCGCCCGCACTTTCTATCATTCTTCTCCAGGTCTTTCTTTCAGGTTATATCTAAAAGTAGAACACTAACCAACTACTATAATATAAAATCAAATAGCAATTGCCTATTATTTACTAATCATTAACCAGATGATTTTCGGCTCCACCTACCAATTCGAGCCTTGCGTCTCCCACGCTTTTTCTTGTTCTTGGAGGTAGTCAACTTGGACCGTACTTTTACAGCCAGTTGCTCTTGACTTGCTGTCATTTTGCTGGGAGAATTGGGTTCTAAGACATGTTCAATATTTTCTGATTTCACTTCAGTTCCTGACTGAAGTTCTGCCGTAAGTCGAGTCCCAACAACTTCAGTATGATTGGACTCTTCCTTCACCTGTTGATTAGCGACAAGAATCTTGTTATCAATCTACAGACAAACAATCATTACATAAAAGTTGATCAACACGAGAGAGGACCCTCAGTCTGACTATATACAAATGGTCAAGTCCTACTGTCATGTCCGAGCAAATTAAAGCTGCAATTGCAATAGTTTAAGAACTTTCCACTTCTAAATTATAATTTGCAATCTTGCAATACCATTTTCCTGATATCCATGCAACCATGAACATAACGATTATTCGTGAAATAGATTAGAAAGATGACTAACCTTGCCACAGATCCTCCCAAATTGCTGCTGGTCAGCAGTTCCAATCATGTTAGCCGGGTTTACTTCCCTAGGGCCAGAGACTACACTTTCAGGCATGATCATCTTATTTTCCAATGTCTGCCGAGTAGTAGTAGGATAAGAACCTATCTGAAAATTTTCACCATCTACTTGGGCCAAAATTGAACTAGGGCCACAATTTATCAATGCTTCACCAGGATCAAAACTTAAGATTTCAGCATTTTCCCTGACCACCTTATCAATTCTTGATCTCAGCTGCCGGACATGCATTTGAGCCACTTCAATATTCCGTAATATATTTTCAAAGGAATCACTATCCTTATCAAGGAATGACCATTCACCATTAATGCCAAATTCACTAACGCCAGAAGTCGTCTTTTCTGCAGAGAACATACAAAGAATAACCAAGCCAGTTTAATTCACAAGTCACAAGAGTTTGGGAAGACAGGATGAAGTTAATGAATGAAATGTATTAGTAATTAGTAGTAATAAATAGCAAAAGATCACATTTATCTGGAAAAGAAGAGTAGCATGGCAAAGATGAAGGGACAAGCAGTCCATCTTAAGAAGAAATATGAAGCATTATTTTTAAAAAAAATATGGCAGAAATGGTCACTTTAAAACTCCATATTTCAATCCCAACACAAAACTTCCATCCAAAGATCAAGATAAGATTATAAAAGTGCAAGAAATCACGGGTCAAAGCGAGAACGCCAAAAAGTCACAACGGGGTGCAGTTTTCTAATTTATAAAAGCTTTGGATTTTACTTCACAGGATGCTTCATAAAGAACGAAACATCCAAAAACTTGTATTTTCATCCAAATTAAACACCTCACAGAAAGGACCATGAAGCTTCAAAGAGGGAAAGACATAATAAATTTATTTTGCAGTAATTAAACACCTCACTGATAAGTGATTAACATGCAGGTCTAACACAACACCATGGATCATTCTGAATTCTGAACAAAAGATTCCACATATATCACAAGTTTGTATAGAGAGCAGAATCATACTCATCTAAGCCACAATTTATTAGCACAAGTTTTATTCTCACCAGTATTGCCATGATCATCATCCAAATAAGCTGAATCACCAGAACGTCTCTTATTTACTGCAAAATAAATTTTGTATAAGAGTGAGGAGCGAAAAATGAGTTTCAGTAAGGGGTCTAAAATCCCTTGTAACTCAACCTCATGATGGAAGTTACAGATGGGGTTAGAGGCCATCCTTACGTACCCTAAAAACCATATTAATATTTAAAAATATAGCTGTACCAAAATATGAGAACAAGCTATGACATGATGAGTAGGCAGTCAAGTCTGTTGTTTCTTCAACTCTTTTCCGTTTCTTCCTCTTCATAACCCTTACTGGCCGATTCTGGCAAACAGAAGGAGCTGTCTTCACTGCAAGGTCTTCAGCAGCATATTTCTCCAACTCACACTGCTTTGTTTTAGCACATTCTGCAAGCTCACGATCATACTTGGAAGCTTGGGAGCGTAGTTCCCTGATCTGTAGCTCAACCCATTTACACCGCCACATCAGTGGGCGTACAAACTTTCTCCATTGAGCGGTTAATTTCTTCTTCCTGAGCATGTGAAGAACAAGAATTACACCATAACATCTTAACACATGAAGACACAATAAAAATCTAGTACATAGTGGGGCCAATAGATATGATCAATCATCAACATAATAAACTTCTTAAAAAATTGTTAAAAAGAAAGAAAGAAAGGAAGGAAGAAAGGGGGGAAAAATGGCAGAAGACCCTTCATATCATGAAGATTATCAAAGATAAGTAGCAGATTGGTAACAGGCCATTAAATTCAGAGCAAATTCTAGTTAAAAACACAAGTTCTTCCCAGATCTGACAAACAGTTCATATCAATCAAAATAAGCTGTGAAATTGAGACAAAGAGACTTTTGAGCATCAGCGTACTTCTTAGTGAGACAGGTGTGGATTAAGCTTCAAAACCCTAAGAACCAGAGGTAACTAAGGTCTCAGAAGTCAGAGCCACTTTCTAGGATAAGTAAGATGAACTGAAAGACAATAGAGTGGCTCACCACTTGTCTTATCCCAAGTTTGAGATGAGTTGCAATAAGGATCAACCCAGCCCTCTCCCAAGGAGCTATGTATGGTAAATGAATATTTCCAGCACATATGCTAAAAAATTACTCCGCAAAATCTTGCCAGAGATTCACGAAATCTCAGGAATTTAAATCTCGGATGTAATTGATTTGCAATTATGGTCATAAAGCCACTTTAAGAGGAAATGTAGTCTGTGACTCCGGCTGCCGGGGCCTAATAGTACAGTCTTGCCAAAGACAAAAACTTTCAATGCGGTCATGATGTGGTGATTCGCCCGAAAATTAATACCCTGCTTCAGCCAGTTTAAATTAGTGATAAAGAGACATATAGCAAAATGATTTGGTCTGTAGCACAGCAACTGCCACTTCCTTGCATTAACCCATAAGGTCCATCACATCTTTCTATGATACTGCTCACCAAAAGTGTTGGACTCGAACATGGTTTCTGAAATTATCATGTCTAGTTTTCCTAAGGTGTCATGCTAAAAATAAAAGGTCACACCCATGTCCTACATGAGAACGACACGTACAACATGGATACAGCAAGGTAGGGAAAGGATCAGAGAAACAAGTCCTAAATAATAAAGCCACTTAATCGCAAACTACGTAAACCTCGTATAAAGGGGTATCAAAGGATATAATTCTAAGATGAAAGAGTTAGACCTTCATCACATGCTAAGTCAGAAAGACTGCAGGAAACGTGCTGGGAGATGGTGATCTGAGTAAGAAACCAAAAAGGATCCAAGGAAACATCCTCTCTTTAGTTCGTGAATGATCAGATCGACTCTACAGCTCTACTATGTCAATCAGATCCCAACATATGCAATGGTGAATCTCAAAATTACTATCCAGGCAGAAATATTAAATTTCAATGCACCTCAACACAAAAAAAATGTCATATTGGGCGAGATTTTTTATTTCCTCCAACTTTGCTTGTTTCACATAAAATTTCCCATCATAATCATTCATTCGTTCATACTGCAATAATCAAACAAATATCTGTCATCGCGAAAGAAATATACCTGGTTTTGAACAGATCATTAAATCCATCGAATTCCATCAATGATGAATTATCATTCCGCAGTTCAGACTCAACTTCAACATCATTCAACGCCCCAGCAGTTCCAGTCTCAGAATCAGTACACCCAAATGAGCTCGAGTTCTCCGTTGCATCCAAAGATTCCCTCTCAGACACCACTTCCTCATCGGATTCCACATTCTCCACAATATCAACCTCCAAATCCTCATCATTCCCATTAGCAGCCATACCTTGATCACAGTCAGCCCTAGAAACATCCATATGAAAACCACTATCCTCATAGCTACTAGCACACGTCGTAACCGGGTTCTCTTCCGGGGTTTTAACAACAGCATCAGCATCAGCAAACCCATGATCCTCACAATTACTAGTACAAACAACCAAATTCTCCTCAGACAACTTAACAGTACTATTATCCTTCATACTGACCGGCGAAACCTTCATCGGAGTATCCAATTTCCCACTCATATCTACTTCAGGACCCATCAACCCAACATCAAACTAAAAAGAATCCATCTTTTAACGAATACCCATCAATCAAAAACTTGCTAAAACTCTGATCAAAAGACAAACTATAACAATGCAAATGCGAACTTCACTCAAACCCAAAATTAATCATAACACAAGTGCTCAAACTAAACCATATTTCCAAACCAAGAGTAAAATTATAATTGGGTTTTACAATTGATTACTCCAATTTCTGTATTACGCAAATGATGATACAATTCATGAACCTGAAAAGAAAACCTAATTGTATCAACAAAACAATCACCACCCAAAAATGAATAAAAGCAAGAGAATTTTAGGCATACATATCAAAATTCAAAGCATAGATAAAAATCGACAAAAACCTTTAATCAACAAGGCAACAATTAAAATTTAGAAATAAAAACAACCCAGAATCATCAAAAACGGAAAAAAAAATTGATTTTTTTTAAGGGAATTAATTATAGTGAAAAGGGGTTTTATTTTTATTTTTTTTAAATTAAAGAGAGAAATACCTGGGTGAAATTGAAAGGACAGATTAAAGGTGGGATTTTTGAGTGTTTTGGTTGGAAGTGGGGAAAGGGATGAGAGAGAATTTCCAAGCTTCAAACTTGAACGACAAGAAGCCTTAATGCGATCTTTTTCCGAGTTTTTTTTTTCTTCAGTATCCTCTCTTTTTTTTTCCTTTAGAAAATGCTGTACTACATTTTCCATTTTTGTTGATTTTATATATTTTTTTAACAAAAAAAATAAATTATAATTGTGATGATTAGGTGCAAATAGATACTCCTATGTAGATTATCAAACACCTGAAATTTATTATAGGGCTTCGCTTATGAAAATGAAAACTCTTCTACTTTTAATTACTCTATAATAAGGTTAAACAAGAGTCGAATTATTCAGAAGTAAACAAGAGTTGATCTACCAATTTAATACTTTTGTCAAGGTTTTACACAACAGGATCTTCAAAAGAGAAGGAAATAACCGAAATCTAAGGTGCACGTGCACTTGTGCAGTTGAGAGATTTCGTATCTAACTTATGTTTATTTTCTATTACGAGTAATATTTTAGAGTTGCTATAATCTTATCACGGAGTATTAGTTTTCTTCCTAAAAGTTAAGAGTTGTTGTTTTTGGAATCAAATTAATTATTCCTATTAATTTAACGTAAGAGAATTTATTTTTATAGAGCTTCTAATAATATGCTTTTAGACTTTTAGTTAATAACATAACGGCCTTAACGGGCAAATTAAGAAAAAATCTTATAGCTATTTCGTGCACAAAAAACATTCTAGAGCCCTTTAACTTTAGATAAGTATGATAGACCGAATACACGATACAATTTAACACAACAGACACGTGGGATCAGGTCATGCTTGGTCTACTTTTTAAAAATTCGTGGCACGTCAAGCTGAGACACTTAGCTAACACAAGGCATGAAAATAAGAAAACAAAAACCCTTAATTTTACACATGTAATAATAGACTTTATTATTATTATTATTATTATTATTATTATTATTATTATTATTATTTATTTGGATGACAACGGTACTCTATGTGAGTCTCTTTGTGCCATGAAAAGTTAAATGTTTTAAAAATAAGTCACTTTGTGCCATGAAAAGTAAAATATTTGGGTGACAAGTTGCTAAAATAATTTTTTTTTAAAAAAAATAAAAATAAAAAACTTTAAAATGTTTTATAGAATAATTGAAATAAAATAGTGATGGAAAAAAAAGGTGTTGAGAGAGATTTTTAAACTTAAGAAATTTGATTGGATGAAGAGAGAAAAGTAACAATATAATATCACTTTTTTTTTCTTTTTTTTTTTTTTTTTTTTTGAACTATGTAATACATTTGCTACAGCAAAGCTTTAAACAAGTCCACCATACCATCATAAGACCATTTTGGGGGTGGATTGAGTTGGGATAGACATGTATAAATGTTAACGAATGAGTCATGAAAGAAGTTTTATAATGATAACACGGTCTTATAGAAATGAAATATGTACTACCATACTATTGTAAAGTTCATTGTATTATATTTACTGCTACTATAATGCTTTGTTGATGGTGGTAATAAATCTGCAAAATTAAGATTAATTTTCGTACTAGCTGTTTATGTCTTCTGAAGAATATTTTGTATAGTTTTTACTACGTTACAATACAACTGAAAGAGACCTTCGATTATTGAACTCTTAAAAGCTTTCTTCTGAAAATAATTGTATGGCACAAAAGTGCTTGTACAAATTTACAATAGGCACTCTATATTTTAGGATAAAAAGGAATTAAGTAGCTGAAAATCTACCATTAACGTAAAATGTTTTATTGTATAATCATGGAAATTGTAAGAAACAGAAAAGTAAACAAAATAATGGTCTTCCAGCAAGCCTATCTAAATTAGTACACAATTGAAGTTAGAACCTTTCATTGTTCTAGTTTATACTACCGTGATGGTGTGATGCGCTGCAACTCGAAAACAAGGTCTTCCGATGCCACCCTCTATATCACTCAATATGCCAAAACTTCATAACAGTAAAACAATTACCTTCTTGTTTACTTGGAACACTTCCAAAAATGAACTTGAGGTGAGACCAAAAGCACAAGACTGACTAATCTCACGATAATCATCGTTGATTGAAAAAAAGCAAAACATTTATCGATTGATTGCTACATGACTAAGTCCATTTCTTTCCAAATCTCACTTGTGGAATGAATAGCACAAGATTAACCCTGTCGTCCTCAATGATGAAAATTTATATCAGGTAGATTGACATTTTGACTTGTGATTTCGTTCTTTCCTGTATCTCACATATTTTGGATCAAATCCACCTTCTACAGCTCCATATACAGCCCAAGGTGGTGTTGGAGCCATATAATCTGAGCTCTTGAAAGGCTCGCCAGAAGCCACCTAAAATTTGGTTAGCAACCTTTAGAAAGACCGGTGACATAAAGAAAAAAGCAATCAAAATTATTTGACGTTTGGACCAACTGCCACATATTATTATCCTAATGTTTAACAATCCTTTAAGAATCCTGAGGTGTTTGTATTGCTTGTATTAGTTAGGATCTTCTGGAACTCTATTAAACTTAAACCATATCAAGATAAATTGAAATTTTGAACTACTCGCAGCAAATGGGAAAAATTATAGAGTACTTAATATGTTTTCCTGGAAAGATAATTAAGATTTTCTTTTAAAATAGAAGCAGAAAAGGAAGCATGTTAAGCTATATGATGGGGCTGTAACTAACCAGGTTGTGAAACTTTTCGTAATCTATCCATGTGAACCATTGGCCGTCTATCTTGAATTTATCAACCTTTGCCAAAAGGACACAACAGGAGTGCTCATGCTCACAAGCAACCTCATATTCACCTTCACTTCTCAAAGCCATAGCTTCTGAAAATGCTTTTACATCAGCATGCCAAGGAACATTTTCCATTGTCAACTTTGACGTAGCAGTTCTGCAACAGAGTTCTTACACAATCTTGAGTACAACATTCCACATACAAAAATAAAAGGGATGAATATATAACGGCGTGATACTTACGATCCACAGTAAGTTACTCCTTTGATTTCGATGAAGTCAGGTTTCCCAAGTGAAACGAGCTTAAAATAGCCATCTACATCTTCAGCATTCCAACCTTTGACTAAAGTCAAGCGATAAACGGTCCGTTGATGCTTTTCATTGAGAGATGTCAGGGAGTCCTGCAAAAAAAAAAATTGTTAGTACCACTGTACCACCATAAAGCAGATGTCAATATCAAAATAAGCCTTCAAATCCAAAGGATTAAAAGAACAGGAAATAAGAGAGCATGTTTTCTAAATTAAAATTCAAACCATTTGATCCACAAACTAGTAAATTATAACGAAACTTGCAAGCAATTTTCCAATTTAAGATTTCACTGGAGAACAAACTTTAGTTGAAACAGAAAGAATCTATTCCAAGCCTTTCAATAGAAGGCTGTTAAGGTGAGCCAAATATGATAAATAGAAAACATCAATTGTTTGATATGATACACAGATCAAATCAGCAGATTTCACTCCAATCTACTTACGAATTCAACTTAATGATCCACAAAAATCGTCGTGTTCAGCAATGAGGATCAGTATAAAAAGGAAGAAATAGCTTAAGTAAGCAACAGAAAAGCCTTGCATTTTGCTTTCAATATACAGAGTGACTTACCAGAAAGCGCTCCCAAAAGTCTCCAAACAAGGGTCTATCCACAGCCTTCAAACTGTCTCTTGTTGCAGCATCAACACTCACATACAACTACACAAGGCAAAAAAAGTTAAGTATGAAGAATGAAGCTCAAGAAACTCTATCCCCACATACAAGAAACCCTAGTATATTTCTTGATGTACAGTTAACTATCATCGAGCAAAAGCTTTTACCTGGGTGATTGGTTTCAATGATTTAATTTTTTCAGGAAATTGAGCATTTGTAACAAGGAAGGTAGAAATCCTCCTCTGATGCAGCTCATCTATAAGTGTATTGATTTCAGGATACATAATAGGTTCTCCTACAAGTGACAAAGCACAGTGCCTGGGCAAAAGACCTTCTGCCAACCGCTCTTCCAGCACCCCTGCAACAGCAATTCCAACACTTAGTCCTGAGTTGATTTTATGTGAAGAATAAAATTTTAAAGTGGGGTAGTGCAGAGCAAAGAAAGTGGAAGTGTTGGATAATCGAGAGAAAAAGAATCATGGGAAGGCAAGAGAAAGTAGCTGTAAAAAGGTAGCACCAAATTCTTATTTGACACACCCTAAATGCAATGTGTGAAGATTAATTTTGCCGGAACATTTGGAGTTCAGATCATAAGATCTGCCGTAGACAAATTATTTCTTGTACGAACAAACCCTCTCTTTGATATACATTTCTCTTGGCATGATCAAAACAATAGCCCACAAAAAAACAGAGATGAGAACAGTAGCTCACATCCCACCTTCATTCCCCGAAGATGGGGATTGGACTCCAACCAGGATCACATATTCACATGTAAGCCAATCCTAGTATCCTACTCTCATCTATATAATATGATAGACATAAACAAACATCTTTCAAAAGACAAACCTGGAACTCCCTTCATTTGCTTTATCATTTTAGTATGAAGGTCTAACGCAGTGTTCACAATCTCAACAGGATCATCCATTTTCCATTGCCAGCTCTTCCCTACAGGATTGGTATGATGCCTCCAACAAAAGACGCATTTGTTTGCACATGCCAGGCTTGGTGTTGCCTCCATGCACCTGTATTAAAAATATACCAATCCATTTAGTATATAGCTTAAGGAATAAATTATATTACAATGCCTCCATGCACCTATATTAAAAATAAATCAATCCATTTAGTATATAGATTAAGGAGATAAATTATATTACAGTGCCTCCATGCACCTGTATCGAAAATATATCGATCCATTAAGTATATAGATTAAGGAGATAAATTATATTACAGTGTAAATATATCTATATTAGCAGATCTGCCGTGCTCACTTGGCATCAGCAGTAACTAACCGTAGAGCTGAATTATGCCAAGAGAAGAGCATCAGAAGCAGAGGTTTTTCTTTATCCTATTGACATTACCAAAATAAATTAAAAACAACTGAGGCAGCAAAGTAACTAAATAACACAATGCATTATGTCCTCAATTTTTATATTTGAGATGACATGAAAAAGTGTAATCTCCATTCTAGAAAAGTTGTTAAAGAAGATCAATGAGAAGAAATTGGTGGCCAGGCAGAGAAAGAGAAACAAATTAAGAAAGTAAAGATCAATATAACTCGTGGCATGATTACCTATGACTCTCAATTCCATAAAATGAGTGCTTATAACAACCTCCACGGCCTCTAAGTTGCGCTTTGGTCCATCTGCAAAGTTTAACTCCACTATGTGTACCAATTATCTTATAGCCCTGCCCAAAAAAAACATTACATAAATTAATACTTTAAAACTAGTTAGAGGAAACAGTTGACAAAGAGATTATATTAGAGCAACAACTCAGAATAATATGAAAATATAATATTTGTAGCATTGTTACAGTAGGATGATTAACAAAAGATAATATTAAAAAAAAAAAAAAAAAAAAAACAAGATAATTTTTTTAAAACGAAAGGTATTCCATGCTAGCATTTGAAGTAAACATGGATAATGGTTATTCAAAAGAGTGGAAAATTGAAGAAAATAACTCTATTTTCAAGAAAGGTTCAAAATATTTTGCAACTGGATCTATAACTTGACAAAATATCCCAACTATGGTACTTCCTACAGAGCTACCGGCTGTGGTTATACATAGCCATAACTACAGAACAGATTTCAATTTGTATTAGAATGCAGAGTACTAGATCAAAAAACATTACACCTAGCTAGACTATAACATTTGAGGCCCCTAGGAACAGTTTTGGTACAAAAACTAGAACCTAGAACAACTTTAATTCTCTCTGGCCTAGTAGAGACTAGACATAAACCATAACTAGGCACTGGTCCTCAAGACCTCAAGGCCTTTGGTTTTACTTCCTAGTCTTTGAACATGCTGCATAGCTACACTCTTATCACAAGGCAAAATAATTGGCCTTTAAATCCAGCTCATCCATATACATATATTCAGTAATTTAAACAATTAAGTATATGTACAATAACTCCACTATCAAATCAACAACAAATTTAAAATATAAAATGAAAAGAAACTCACCTGCTTCACCAGATTTGCTCTGATTACAGGAGTGACCATTTCTTTTTTGCCGTCAGTCTTGACCCCATTAACCTGCGCTACATTCTTTGAATTCCTTGATGGCCCCTTACCTGCTATATCCTCAAGATCAACAACACCCAATTCCTCCTCACTTTCTTCCAAATCTTCATCATCAGACTCATCGACGAACTCTGCATCACTCTCATCATCTAACTTCCCACAAGCAATTACCCCATTTTCCTGAACTACACCTTTTAGGATCCCAATCAACTTCTCACCCCAAGCATCAACCTCTTTCCCCAATCTACCTCCATCCACATCACCCTCCCTCAACGGGAGCACCTCATTTGCTCCCAAAGCTTTCAACCTTTTTGAAATCCCTTTAGCCACAACATCAAAACTCTCTCCATACGCCCCACTACCAACCCCAAAAACTGCATATTTGAGCTTATTGAGCAGAAGTGATCCTACTCTAAAATCATTAGCGCTCTCCTCAATCCAATCAGCAAAAAACTTGGCTTTAGGAGGCGGCTTTCCATCCTCCCAGGTAGAAGCCACAATCAAAACAAGGCTTTCCTTCGAAAGATCCTCCGGCTCATAATCTTTGACATCAATAAGGTCAATAACAAGACCTTTTGAGGCAAGCAACTTGTGAAGACGGTGAGCTAGGGTTTTACAAGTGCCAGTTTGAGTGATATAAATAAGTTTCGGGTTCCGAGCAGAGACAGCAAACTTCTGAGAAGCAAGCTTAAGGCAGCGGGATTTATAGAAGCAGTAAAAGGTGGTGGCAGACAGAAGGGCAAGGAGGGTGACACGAGACGCTAGAGCCGACGACACCATTGTAATCAATTAGCTACACAACTCTTACTCAAAAACATAGACAAAACTCTTTCACCCCAGATAAACAAACCAACCCAAATCAATCCCACCTCAAATTAATTCCTTTTCTTGTCCCAAATAGATCAAATTGGAAAATAACCCTGCCCAATCAAAAAACATACAAATCAAGAATCAAAGTTGGCACTCATTCAATTTACACTTTACAGTATAACTGGGTAATGAAAATTTCTACACCATACTTTACAATTTATTTAAAATGCATAAATCATCAAGCTTGATTTATAATATATAACATATACCCAGATAATATTAAGCTTATAATTACAAGTCTAGAACTTTATATTACAATTCCATTGATTTGTATACAGAAATCTATCTGGGGTTTAAGGGAATTAGGGTTTAAGAAAACTAAAACATTCACTCAAATTGAAAAACATAAAATAGAGATTGATCTTACCTGGGTTCAAGAAAAGACGAGCGAGTTGAGGCGCAAACTGAGTGTTTGGGCAAGTCGCCGGTTAGAGGATTTAGGAGTAACTAAACTATAAACCCAAAGCTGTGTGTTCGAGTGTATCAACGCACTCCTTTTCCTTTTCCAAAATTACCCCTCTGTTTTTTCTGGAAGAAAATTAGCCCTCTTTGATTAAGGTATATTTCATTTTATCCGATTACTTGAGTAATAAATGGATAATTCCCTTAAAAAAAAGTAATAAATGGAAAAAGTAATCAAGTAGTGTAGTAAAAAATTCATTGTAGGAGGAACCAGACAGATTTCGGCCCGGTAGATTCTTCTCCTTATCACAAAAGAGAAAAAAAAAAAAAAAAAAAATCTAAATGACTTCAAAACCTTATACTCCCTCCATTTTTAAATACTGAGTGCTCCATTTCTATTTTTTACACTATTCATTTGTCCTACTTTGACTAATGATTGTGATTTATACTCCATAAGAAAAAAGTTATAATCTTGTGAGTACTCATTGAAATCACCTCGATGAATAGATTATTAATTTCAATTGTTAGAATTTATACTTATTGACAATTAAAAATATTAGTGATCAAAGATTAACATCGGTATGCGTGTCCAAGAGAAATGGAGCAAGTATTTATAAACGGAGGGAGTAACAAATGAAAAAGGGATATGCATGTAATTTGTCTTTTAAAATTTCTCATTGGTTGATCTTTGATCTGTTAAATGGATTGATTGGTTATTAAGTTGAGTAATTTTGAACAAAATTTTGTTACAATTGTTGGAATAAAGTTTTAAGGAATTGGTTTATAATTATTATTTGTAACTTAATTTTTCGTTTGACTTTTAAGATTAATTGTTTTGTTTAATGGGGTCTTATTGGTTTTTATCATAGCTTATGGTATAAAAAGTAATTCCATGCAAAAACAATTTCTAAGACATTTTATAGAGCAACAAGCCAACAACTCCAATCAAACTAATAAGTTTTGTAGCTAAAGGATTAGAAGTTGCAGAGTAGAACATTGTCACGGGAGTCGAGACTTTCAAATAACTATTTGTATTGTTGATTAACTGAATTATCTAATTTATTTCTTAAGAACAAAATTTAATTTACAATACTTAATGAAATAAATCTTAGCAGAAGTTAAACTTTAGGTTTAGAAGTTATAATATTTTTTTTTTAGATACTAAATACAAGTCTTTCATAATAATTTTTTCTAAAGAAAATTGGAGCAAAATTGTTCTTTTGACTTACGAGTTACGACTTGTTAAGTTTTTTTAATTATTAATGAACTAGTTCAAACAAAATTTTAGGGTTTTTTTTTCCCTCGAAAAGGACACAATTTTATCAACTCGACAACAGAATATCATCCATTACAAAGCATGATGCTATTTAAGGGATCTCCTCAATCCACACTCGCAACCCATCAAGCTTTTTGCTAAGCTGTGCTACTTCGTAAGCATTCCTACTTACATGAGAGTAGCTAATAGACAAACAAAACTTTGCAAACTCAAAAGATATCATTCATTATATAACCGAAGCTACTGCACTACTACTTTTGCTGCTGCAAATATGATAAGACTGAGATGTTGTTAGTCTCAAGCTCCACCCTTTTAAGTCCAGCTTCAATCAAAATTTGGAGAGCATTCCTCACCGCCAAAGCCTCTGCATTCTCTGAATCCCCAAAGCCCCGAGTAGTGATGCATGTAGCAGCCATCGCATCCCCTTCCCTATCCCCCGCTGCATTACACCACCAAAACCAAACATACTATCTTTGAAGCAAGCCACATCCACATTGACTTTACAAGATCCCATAGCAAGGGCTCTCCATGATTGACAGACAGGAGCAGCCTTGCTCATCTCTGAAGGTAAGCATTCATTTGCCTTTTCGTATTCTCCTATGATGCTCATAGCCCTCCTTTGAACCTCCACTACTTCCACCCCTTTTCCCATTAAACACCCAGGCATTCCTTTTCAGCCAGATTCCCCCAAAGTGTACTCCAAAACAAGCTCCGCCAAGTATTATCAGAATAAGATTTCTCAAGCATGAGACACAACTCCTTAAAAGAGGGAACATCGAGGCGCTCGAGTCAAATCTCAACGGGGAGGATTACCCAAGCATGAGGCATTTATTTTAAGCAAAATTGCTCAGCATATATACTTGTTTTTTTTGGGAGCCAAATTGCTAGGTGTACTATACCATACATGCATATGAACCTTTTCATTTCATGTTGTTTCCCATTAGATTTTTACAACAAAGTTCTGTTTATATCCAAGAAGAGCCAACACACGGGACTACAACTTTCACAAAGTTCAAACTCACTGTATAAAATAAAGATTTATGGTACTTGTATATATAAATTGAAGAATAATATACGTCGCAGTCATAGAGCAAATGTGCCCTTATTCACAACTCCAATAATACAACTCAACCGCACAAACATAACATGAAAATTTTTGTCACAATGAGTACATGACCACCAAGTCGCCCACTGGGACTGGCGAAAAATGGTGCTTTGTCTTCAAACCACTTTCAGGATAAATGACTTTTTCACAGGCTATCATGATCAGTAGAGTAACAAAATCGAGATCAGCATAAAAAAAAAGTAGTTCAAGGTTGATGACCCTGAAGTTGAGAGAGAATATCACCAGTTGGTTGACGTTCTTTCTGGTCATCTTTCTCCTATACCATCTTTCTGGTGGGCGATGAAATAGTCTTTGAAATGCAGCACTGTAAAGAAGACTTTTAAGGAACACCGGTAAAAGGCTTCAAGAAGGGTAAAATAATGGCCAAGGTTGATAGTGTTGTGGTCTTCAAATTGAAATTTCAACCAGGTGATGTTCCAGATTGCGCAGAACTATTCTCGCAAATATTTTGGCTTCAAGTGGAGCAGTTGCAGCAGCAGCTGCAGCACGCAGGACTCTCGGGGCTCCTGCATTCTGCAAAAGATTTGCATGGTGTATTGCATGGCGGCCACCTGGTATAGTGAACTGCAATTTGAAAAGATGGAAGTTTTCCATAGAATATTAGAAAATTTTACAATATAAAGAATGAACACACAAATACTCCCTCACCCAAAAGAAATCCCATGAATGATAAAGCACATAAAGAGGAAGAGAAGCAGTGGCAACAAGAGGCCTCATCCCTTTGATGTGATTCTTTGAAGCTGAGAGGGGAGCTTTGTTTTGGGGTTATTCCCAGGCACCACTACAATGCATGTCGCAGATTCAGGAGGTACTATCTCCTTTTTGAAGAGTACACTCACCATTCACTAAGGTCCGGTTCAGATTACTGCCAATCCTATCATCCCAGTCCATTACATTTTTTCCAACGAGTTTGACTGAAATTATCAAGTTTTAGTTCCTTCTGAGCTTAAGAGCTAAATTTCTCAAAGCAATAAACACAGTAATTAACTAAACTTTCACAGAAGATGAATTTTTTCACTATTCACAGGCAACAAGTATTTTATAGAATTCTCTTTGCTACTCAGTTCAAAACTTCAAGCAGGCAGAATGGAAACTGGTAAGGGTTAATAAATGCAGTGCTTAACAATAAATGCATGCTCATCCATTAAACTTGATTTTTTACACATACACTTACACAGCCAAAAGGGATAATATTTGAGACATTTTACCCACCTTCAAAGAAAATGGTACAGGTATTAACAATAAAAGCAAGGCCGTACATTCCTTGAGATAGAAAACAAGTGCCCTCGCTCCTAATTAAAATAAACAAGAGTATCTAAAATACTAGCAGCATTGTATATACTGGATATGCATGTCAAAAATCAAGCAGACAGATAGAAATCTCTTTTACCTGGAGTAGAGCAAATGCAGCACAAGTCTTTAATATTGAAGATGGATTACGCAGCATTGCCACAAATCTCCCAATTTCTGCTCCACTGAAAATTATAAAGAATAAAAAATAAATAAAAAATAAAAAAATTCAAAGGCAATCATAATTTACAATAATGCTTTGAGCTTCTGAGCACTAGCTAGCAAGATGCATCTTTAAATGAAAAAGAACACTAAATGAGTTAACGAGTTTTTTCTGCAATGTCAGATTGGTCCCAAAAATTCTCTCTCCAATGTTTCGTTCATATAGTCTCTCAGTTGGTCATAAAATCAGTTTCAAGGCCAAATAAATGAACTCCCTAGACCCATTGAAGGTGGATCCAAGCTGAATCAGTTCAGATATTTTAGCAGGTTTTATAGATCATATTTAGTGCTACACTAAACCTGCTCTTTGAAAGGCCATTGCCTAGGTCAGTTATTTGTGATGAGACTGTAAGCTGTCATAAGCACGGGCGTTTGAGTTTAAAAGCCTAGCTCTAGTCACTAGTTACTACAGATGTCAAAAAAAAATCAAGTTCAATAGTAATGATTAAGTTTCTTCTGATGATTTAGAACCAAAGAGGCAAGGAGCATTACAAATGTCAGAAATCTTCAAGTTAAATAGTTATGTTTAAGTTTCTTCTGAATTCTGATGCTTTCAAACCAAAGTGGATTGCCTTGTGTCCATTACTATCTAACTGTAGTGAGGGCTCTGAAGAAGTTACAAACAACTATAGCTGGTACAAGTGTAATGTCAAGATGTTCTGATACTACCCCTTGTCTTCAATTTACACCCCCTAATGTGCAGCTATACTTCTTAGAGTTCTTACCTGCATCTAAGATGACCAGCTTCCTGTATTCTAGCTGCTTCTGTTACTTGTGCCAATGCTGCAGGAGCTGATGATGCAGCAGCTGCTGCAAATGCTTGAGGATCAGAAAAGGTAAGAACAAACGCTTCAATATGTTTCAAAGCCATCCTTCTAGCCCCATCCAAGCTTACACACTTTGACACGCCTTCAGATGACGTTCCTGTCAAAGCAACTTCACCTATCCTGTGAAAAGGAAAAAAAAAAAAAAAGAGGACATTCTTTATAAATCAATTACTTCATGCAAACACCTGCTATCAACAAATATCCCTACAAAGATCTAAAATATGATTAACCTACAAAGCACTTTAAGCAACACCAATGATGATGTCAAGCAGCACTCTACCGCCTCAATCCCTCATGCAGCATTTTCACTAGATTCTAACATACCTATGTCATTTAGGCAAATCCAAATACAACTAAGTCCTCACTCTGTCTGTTAACAAAGTTAACAAGAATAAATAGAGAGACAAGATGAACGTTACTACAAATCACAAGTCATTACCAGGTACCTACGGTTGTCGCTTTTTTTTTTTTTGGTTACACATTCTTTCGAATACAATCACAAAATGATAAATCTGATCATAATCCAGAATTTAAGCCATGATTCTTTCAAAAACAATACAGAGTATAATTTAGAAGGGGCTAATCCTGAGAACAAGAGATACAATGTAGGCTATTAAATAAC